TGACGCTATTTAGCTTTTAAGTTCTACCTGGCGGTACCAGAACGGGTGGTTCGTCCTTGAACCTCTTAGTATTCCGAGAATGTTGCCTTCCGCAGATCCCAAAATTTGGTAAACCATGTTTGGGAACGGTGCCTGCATCGCAAGTGCTCTGCTCTGGTTCTCGGGGTGCGTCCTGTCCGACGACATCGTCGTGAGGCTGCCCCAAGGAGATCTTCGAGGGAAAGAAGCCAGATCCAGTGGGGAACATCTTTATTATTCCTTCCAGGGCATTCCGTATGCAGAGCCGCCTGTCGGGGAACTTCGCTTCAAGGTATGACGGTCCCCGAAATTCACAACTAGAACGCCGCCCGGCTCGCTTGCACATAGGCGACGAAAGACCGTTGAAAATCTTTCAGCCCCCAGAAAGACACAGAGGATGGTCGGGGACGAAGGACGCGACGCTGGAAGGCTCCGTGTGCATCCAAATGGATGATTTTTTCTTTAATACGGGAATCGAAGGTGGAGAAGACTGCCTTTTCCTCAATGTCTTCACTCGTAAGGTAAAGGCTAGAACAAAGGTGAACTTGGAATGGTGAATCGGTCGAAATAGGTGGGGCATTCTGCAACTTGGTCGTTATCCATCTGTCGCAGGTGCCGAAAGAGGGTGAGGAAAACCCCAGAATGGCGGTGATGGTATGGATTCATGGAGGAGGATTCGCCTTCGGCAGCTCTCATTCCATGTTCTATAACCCTGCATATCTCATGGATCACGACATTGTCTTGGTCACCATAAATTACCGTGTGAACATCCTAGGTAAGAAACTCAATCCAGTTCCTTCATTTTTCTGGCAAGCATTATTATTCTTCCAAATAGCAGCTTCTGCTCCTTCCTTCCATCCTTCCTTCCTGTCAAAGTATTGTTCTTCAGGTTTTCTTTCGACGGAGGACGAAGTGGCTCATGGGAACTATGGGATGTTGGATCAAGTTCAAGCCTTGAAATGGGTACAAGAAAATGTGGAACATTTCGGTGGCGACCCTTCAAGGGTGACGATTTTCGGGGAAAGTGCAGGAGGGGCCAGTGTGCATCTGCTGGTCCTGTCCCCATTGGCTCGAGGTCCCTAACAATTCACAGGAAATTGTGATCTTGAGTTGCAAGAAAAGGATGAGTTGACCAGGTATGCATTAATTTCCGGGGGGAATCCAGGGCTTTTCGCGAATGCCATCGCGATGAGCGGAGTCGCCACTGATCCTTGGGTGCTGCAGTGGGAAGCCAGAGAAGTAGCGGAAAGGCTCGGAGAGATGGTAGGATGCCCGAAAGACTCCAGTCATGCCCTGGTGGAATGTCTTCGCACGATTGACGCCCGGGAGTTGGTGACGAAGAAGGGTAATTTTCGCGTGAGCTTCTCCTTCCCTTCCACATGCAGTAGGGACTAGCTAGGAAATACCTCGCGATACGAATCGAGTTTATTTACACAATTTTTATTTATACAAACACCGAGTTTATAATTAATTCCATCCAGTTGTGGTCGGCGCTTCCTTTCACGTTCACCCCAAGAGTTGATTCGGAAGCGAAGGATCCTTTCCTGCCTGACGACCCTGAGAACCTCCTGCGAGAAGGCCGTTTCGCCAAAGTCCCCTTCATCACCGGACTCACTCGAGACGAAGGGCTCTTCCTGGTTTACAGTAACTATACTTTTTTAAATCTTTCCTCTGCACTTCCTACCACCCTTTTTCCTTTCTTTCCTTCGAAACGGAGATCCTTCAACTTAAATCACCCTCTAGCTGCTTTGCTGAACGAGACACTGCTGACTGAAATAGACGGGAACTGGGACTTTTACTGCCCTCGAATGTTCCTTGGGAAGACCGAGGACACCGGGGACTACTGCAGTCGTCTCAGGAAACAGTACTTCGGGGATCAACCCATCAACCGCCACAATCGATACGAACTCGTCAGGGTAAACTGAGTTTCAAATGGAGTTTCTCTTTCAATCGAAAGCCGAATGAAGCAGCAGAGAATCTTAAATAAGTTATATTTTTTAATCAGATGGCTGGAGACCAAATGATGAATGTGGGGGCCCTCGAGACCGTGAAGGCCCAGAGCCGCTTCGTCCCCACGTACCTCTACTCCTTCGAGTACGAGGGAAGCCACGGGTTCATAGACCTCATTAGGGACTTGATTGCCAAACAAGTTCCAGAGGAAAGAATGGAATCCTTGCCGAGGATCAACGGCGAGTCTCGAATTTTATGATCTAATGCCTTCTGAGGGTCATGGATCACTTTTGTCCTCGTTTCAATTTCCTCATATTTTCGAGCACCAGCTCTTCATAATGCGGGCTGTTTCAACTCTATCTCAAACCGAATGGGTAATGTGCAGTCAATATCTTTGAATAGTTTAGGATTCATCTCATTCTTTTTCTTTCTCTTGGAAAAATACGAAGGGCTGAAAGGCAAAGTGCTCTATCTGCAAAAAAATTCTTTCCTTGGGCTCCACAAGGAAAGAGTGAATGTTCCAGCGATTGTCTTCTTAAAACCGAAGAAAATTATGAAACGATAGATCACTTCATCTTTTACATAATTCCAAAATATATAATTTTCTTCGAAAGGAACAAGATTCAATGAGCATTGAACCAACTATATTTTTTTTCCGCAATATTTTTTGCCGATTAGCCACTCACCTTTCAGCCCTTCATACACATGTCGAGAGGCAGTTGAAGGAAAGACATCTATCGTCCACGTAAACGAACGGGAGCTTTCATTTTTAAATTCCGAAGCACAAGCAAGTTGAAACTTGACTTCGAGTCGTATTTCATACAAATGATGGTGCAACCACAATCTTACGAGTACATTCAAGGCATCGATGAAGGAAAAAAAAAAACGTAGCGAACCATCGAATTGAGATCGAACGGATTTCGTCTCCCCTTGGAGCAGGAGTGGCCCACGGGGACGACCTTCGTTATCTCTTCTACGTGGCATTCCTGCCGCGCGTGGAAGCGTTGGATGCGAAAATGATGGAACTCCTCACGGGAATTTTCGTCCAATTCGCCAAGTCAGGGTGAGTCGCTTCCTTCCCGTTTAATTGCCTGCAGTTTCTTTAATCGCGCCCTCGGCTCCACCACTCGACCCAAAAAGACTCGGCTGTCTCATCTCCATTTTTTTTTTTTAGCGACCCGACGCCGGATCCCCTAGCGGACGTGAAATGGCCCCGATGGACAGAAGACGACCCCCGTCATTTCGTGTTCGACACCCACCCGCGATTGTGGCGAAACCTGGTCGACTCCAAGCTACTCGATTTCTGGGAACGACTCCGCGCCACCCAGCCCAAGAGGGGCAGAGAGGAACTCTGAAATAAATTTTTTTTCGTTATTATATCTCTGATTAGATTTGATAAAAACCTGATGCGATGAGAAAGAGTGCATTGTCTTCGCGTCTCTTCGACCTTTGATCTCGGACCGAGACCCAGCCGATTTGATAATCGATTTCTTCATTTACCATCGTCCCAAGACCACAGAAAGTCACAATTACCACCGTTCAGAGCGCTGAAGCATCGCCGAGTATAGTTACCTTTCGAAAGGTAACAAAACCCTCTGGTTGGATGGAAAAAAAAAATCAGGATTAAAAATCGCACAATTATCTAACAAATTCACTTGGTAATTTATAGTTAGGAAAGACCAACCTTTCACCGCTGGCGTAGTTGCTGATCACAAAGTATCAATATTATCAATATTGAAACGTTTTTGTGTCAAAGCATTAAAAAGGCAACATTTAAGAACGCAATAAAATAATGAAAGATGACAAGATCTAGGAAAAAACTCTTTTCCGATAAATAAAAAAAAATACGGGGACAATAATTGCACTCGATCATATCTGGCCGAGTACGACATATGGCATCACCTCATGAACAAACGATTCTACACATCGGCATCAGGTGCTTCGTGGGTCATAAATGAAAGTGTAGTTTCATAACAAAGTGGAGCGATCCGGTGTTCCCGATAAACGGCTTGCATAGCGAATGGAGATGCCCAAGGACTCCAAACCCTCTTGGAATAACTGCATGCTAAGCGTCCAAGAAAGCGACAGGCCCCTCGCCCTCCTCTTGTTCCCCGTATTTTTTTTTATTTATCGGAAAAGAGTTTTTTCCTAGATCTTGTGATCTTTCATTATTTTATTGCGTTCTTAAATGTTGCCTTTCCCCCCCCCCCCCCCCCCCCCCCCCCCCCCGCTTATCCCAGCCTTCCACCCTTCCTCATCTTGCATGCCGACGTCAAGGTCGCTTTCGGGAGTCTTCCCACGGACGTGGAACGTAAACGACCCATCGGCAACAACGACAAGATCTGAATGACTTGGAGAGACGCACCCAGGTACACGGGCTTGTGAAACCTCCGTTAACGACGACGACTCCCGTTCCGTCGCTAGGCGCGGCCACCCACACGTCCCGCTTCCGGTGACGCAAAAAAAATAACGAAAAAATAATGAGAGGCAAACCTGAAGCTGTTGGAGGTGCCGGCACCCGAGGGTATTTGATAAAGAAGACACGATCGTGAGGCGGCCGCTACATCTCGTACGACGCGGAATTCACTTACTTCCCACCTTTCAAATGAAGTGCCTTTACAAGAGGATTTCCTTCTTAGGAAACTCCTGCTGTGCTTCTCATAGGCAGATCCCCGTAGGACACAACCGCCTTTCGCCCCATTCCTCCGTCCCACCTGACCCCCATCCTACCGCCCCCTTGCCCCCATCCTCCCCTCCCCCCTTGCCCCCATCCTCCCGCCCCTATGTTCCCTTTCCCTCCATTTTAGCCAAGAATAAAGCGCGGAAAACCTCTGCATCCGTACACATGAAAAAAATATGCAATGAATACATTTTGGAAGGGAAAATGACCAATAAACTTGATAATTATCTCACTTCATTCATTCCAAAATAGTGGCGATGGCATTCCACAACTCACACTCAACGATTGCTCACATAGAAATATCGCTTGCGGAAAAGAGTTGAGGATGGGTTCTGTCCAACAAATGAATGATTGCGAAAGTGTCATCGATTCCACTTTCTGCTCGAGGGTTCAGTGCCACAGTCGGGAAAAAGCGGATAATTATTCAAGAAAGAGCCCCTTGAGAGTTACACGCCAATTCCAGGTTCTCGACGCCCTTGCAAAGCGAATGAACTGTTGCGCTCCCCTCTTATTGTACACACGATGAAACACGACTGAAGGTCTTTCGATGAATTCTCTTCTTCGATGCTGCTCCCGTCTGCCTCATCTCGAGTGACTCCATCCATGCACATCCGACCCCGGCAGTTCCTCGTACGCAATTTCTCTTCCGTGTGCAGCAAGAAGCCCGTTACGAAAGCCTATTGTGCCGGAATCCTTCCAAGCTCTTGGCATGGTTTCCGCGCGGGATGATCAATTAGTTTCGAGCCAGGCGGCGTACAAGACGGTGCCTGGAGCGTATCTATCTCGTGTAGATACGGCGATTGAATGCGGCCGACCTACAGATGATCGCAGAGACATCAAATTATTTTGTAAAAAATCAAAAATTCGCTGACGCTATTTAACTATAAGTTCTACCTGGCGGTACCAGAACGGATGGTTCGTCCTTGAACCTCTCAGTATTCCCAGAATGTCGCATTCCATAGATCCCTAAATTCAGGTAAAGCATACTCGCAATATGTGCTTGTGTCGCAATCACTCTGCTCTGTTCCTCGGGGTGCGTCCTGACCGACGACATCGTCGTGAGGCTGCCCCAAGGAGATTTACCAGGGAAAGAAGCCAGATCCAGTGGGGAACACCTTTATTATTCCTTCCAGGGAATTCCATATGCAGAGCCGCCCGTCGGGGAACTTCGCTTCAAAGTATGTCAGTCCCTGGAATTGATAACAAGAATGACGCTCGGTTCGCTCGCACAATAAACAAGCAACTGAAGGACGTTGAAAATCATTCAGCCACCATAACGGCACAGTGGGTGGTCGGGGACGAGGGACGCGACGCTGGAAGGCTCCGTTTGCGTTCAGGTTGATGAATTAATCAAGAAAGGAATCGATGGCGACGAAGACTGCCTGTTCCTCAATGTTTTCGCTTGGACAATGGTGAAGTTGGAATAGTGAATCGGTCGAAATAGGTGGGGCATTCCGCGACTTGGTCATTATTCATCCGTCGCAGATGCCGAAAGAGGGCGAAGAAAACCTCAGAATGGCAATGATGGTATGGATTCACGTAGGAGGATTCGTTAGTTGGCAGCTCTCGAGCCGTAATATATAACCCTGGGTATCTCATGGATTACGACATTGTCTTGGTCACCATAAATAACCGGCTCAACATCTTTGGTACGCTCAACACAGTCCACAGTGTTGCTCAACACAGTCCACGCATTTGCCGGTATGATTTTTCTTCCAACCTTTCGATTCTGTTCCTTTTTTTCCAGTGAAAATCTTGTTGCTTTTCAGGCTTTTTGTCGACGGAGGACAAACATACCCATGGGAATTACGGGATGTTGGATCAAGTCCAAGCCTTGAAATGGGTTCAGGAAAATGTGGAGCATTTCGGTGGCGACCCCCCATCAAGGGTGACGATTTTCTGGGAAAGCGCAGGAGGGACCAGTGTGTATTTGCTGGTCCTGTCCCCCCTCGCTGGAGGTCCACGTTTTTATCCACATTATATTGTCACGTTGACTATGTCTTGAGGACAAGGAAGAGTCGAAAAGGAAAGCTTTGATTTCCGGGGAATCCAAGGCTCCTCGCGAACGCAATCGCGACGAGTGGAGTCGCGACGGATGCCTGAGCGGCGCAATGGCAAGCCAGAGAAGCAGCGGAACGGCTCGGAGAGATGATGGGATGTCCGAAAGACTCCAGCCGTGCCCTGGTGGAATGCCTCCGAAAGAAAGACGCCCGGGATTTGGTGGCCACGACGGTCAATTTCCGCGTGAGTTCAGATTCACTTCCAAATTCTGCCAGGCCTGCCAGGGTAAGTGCAGGGTAATAGATACCTCCTGGAGCCTAACTAATGTGGAACGATATTGTAAATGTAGGAAAGGTTATTATTTGTGCAGAAGTTTTTCTTGTTTTTTTTTTTTTCAAATTGATTTTAAAAATGGAACGCGACCAAGGTGACTGTCAACCATTACGCCTCAAACATCCAATGTGTCTTGGAAAATTGCTACTAATTACAACACATGTTGGTAGCACAGATCAAATTTTGCACATAAAATTGTGCGATAATGATAAATCAAGGGTACTGCTCATTTTTTTAAATTATAAAACTGCTTGGTTTGTCAAGAAGTATGGGAGCAGGTATTTTGCACCACCACATACAGTGCGAGTTGAAACGAATTTTAAAAGGCATAAGAATTTATTCCCTCCTGTTGTGGAGGTTTATGCCTTCAACGTTCACTCCTCGAGTGGATTCCGAGGCGGAAAGTCCTTTCCTGCCCGACGACCCAAAGATCCTCCCGCGAGAAGGCCGATTCGCAAAAGTCCCCTTCATGACTGGCGTCACTCGAGAGGAAGGGCTCTTTCTGACTCAACGTAATTAGAATTCCCTTCATCATTCTTCCTTCCTTTCGATTTAATTCCCACTTCCAGCAACAAGAGTATTTCTGACAGTCCTGAACTTTTATCACGCTTCAGCCGCCTTGTTGAACGAGACGCTGCTCACTGCGATGGTCGGGAACTGGGACTATTACTGTCCTCGAATGTTTCTTGGGAAGACCGAAGACAATGGGGACTACTGCAGTCGTCTCAGGAAACAATACTTTTGGGATCAGCCCATCAATCGCCACAATCGATATGAACTCGTCAGGGTAAACAGCGTTTTATCTGGGGCTTCTCATCTTCTTGAGAGCGGAAGGAGGATTTCAGAAATACAAATTTTCAATCAGATGGCCGGAGACCAGATGATGAATGTGGGGGCCCTCGAAACCGTGAAGGTTCAAAGCCGCTTCGTCCCAACGTACCTCTATTCCTTCGAGTACGAGGGGAGCTTCGGGTTCATGGACTTCATCAGGGCCATGCTCGTCATGTCGTTCCCGGAGAAAGCCAGAAGCTCTGTTCCAAAGCTCACAGGTGAGATTTCGATATATGTAGGAAACGTCTCAATGTTAATTTTTTATTGTGATGCGTTGGCACTGACGAAATTTACCTTCGCGAGGTCCAATGAATACTTTTTAATTGCAGATTCTTTCACATTTTTAGAGTAACCGTTTCAACTTGGATTGATAGAATTGAGTTTCATTGGATTGAATTTCACCAGAATGGTACTATACCATGCACTTATCTGGAAAAACATCTAATTCAAAGCCTGTGGAGCCTGACGAGAGCTATTTCAATGGGGAAGGTTTGAGTAGAACAAGAAGTAGACTATCGCCAATCGCAATGGTGGAGTATTCCGTGCGTGGTTTATGGCTGATGTGACTCGGAGCGTTAAGCAGCGGCCTTCCAACTGTAAACTTTCGATAAGTAAAAGGATTTAGGAGCGGTTCATTGTTCTGTTGGTCTAATACCGAATTAACATTCAAACTTGGAACCCCATCGGGGGGAAAAATGGCAGCAACACCATGCATCACTGGTTCAATTACTTCCCATCCGGAGCAGGCGTGACCCACGGCGCCGACATCGCCTACCTCTTCCGCGTGGCCTTCCTCCCTCCTGGCGACGCGAGGGACGCGGCAATGAAAGACATCCTCACTGATATCTTCGTTCAGTTTGCCAAGTCAGGGTGAGTCCCCTCTCGCTTTCTATTTGCGAAATTCCCAGCGTCTTTCACTGTGGGACTCTTTCTCTTTGCCAGGAAGTCAGCTGACTCGCGGAAGTTCTTTTTTGTTTCCGTGGGAAACATGTGAACAGTTATTATATTTTATGCTCATTTTTGTTCATATTTTATACCCGTATTTATTTTCGATTTCATTCAGTTTATTTTTAATATCGAATGTAATATTATTTAATATGATTTTTGTTTCATTTTTCATATTATACCCCATTTTGTCGACTGTAGAGACCCGACGCCAGATCCCCGATCGGACGTAAAATGGCCCCAATGGACACAAGACGATCCCCGTCATTTCGTGTTCGACGCCCAGCCCCGATTGTCGCGAAACCTGGTCGACTCCAAGTTTCTGGATTTCTGGGAACAACTTCTCGCCTCACAACCGAAGAAACAAAGGGAAGAACTTTGAAAGGCCTCTTTTTTTCGTTCCTCTGATTTCAGTTAATAAAACTGATGAATTGAAAAGAATGCAATCGTCTTCGCGTATCAAAGAACTTCGATATCGGGCCGAGACCCACTGGTTTTTATTTCTCGGTTTCTGTTTACTAGGGTCCCGTGATCTCTGCAAGCCAACGTTACCCTCTGACCACGATTTCATCACAATTCAGAGAGCTGAAACGCCTTCATGTTGGAATATCGGAGGATATCACTTTCCTCAAAGCACGAAAGGAAGCAAAACCCTTAGGTTGGATGGAAAACGAAAATCCGGATTTAAAATCCTAGAAATATCGAACAAATTCACTAGGTAATTTAAAGCCCGGAAAGGCCAACCTTTCGCCGGTCGCGTAGTTGCTGATCGCCCTTCTGATAGATCAGAAGGGCCATTGTCGAAAATTCTTCTACGCTAACAGAAAGTAACCTTCAACCTTAAATTAGTCTCTTAAAGGGAAAGTTTTTGCGTCGAGGTATTATTAAGGCAATATTTTATTAATTGCAATAAAGCAATGAAATCTGACAAGATCTAGGGAAAAAATTCTCTCCCGATAAAAATACTGGTGGACAATAATTGCCCTCGATCATACCTGGTCGAATACCTGTCGTAGCACCTCATGGACAAACGATTATACACATCGGCATTAGTGCTTTTCCCGAAAGGGGAATTATTTCAATTATTATTATTATTCATAAATGAATAATAATTGAAAGCGCTGATCCCAGTCTCCTCACAGCAAGGTGAAGCGATCTTGCGTTCCCTGATGAACGCCTTGCATAGCCAATGGAGATGCCCAATCACTTAAACACTCCCGGAAGAACTGCATGCGAAGCTCCCAAGAAAACGACAGGCCTCTCGCCCTCCTCCTGTTCCCAGCAGCGAATTTTACATCCACTCCAACCCCCCTCCCCCGAAGATCTCCTTGGGGCAGCCTCACGACGATGTCGTCGGACAGGACGCACCCCGAGAAACAGAGCAGAGCTCCCCCCCCCCACCCCCCCCCCCCCCCCCCCCCACCCTTCCACGCTTCCCCATCTCGCATGCCACCGTAAGGTCGCTTTCGGGAGTCATCCCATTGACGTGAAGAGATGGACCCAGGGAGGAGGTTCACGGGGGCTCGTGAAACCTCCGTTAACGAAGACTCCCTTTCCGTCGTTAGACATGGTCACTCCCCACGCGACAGTTCCGGTGACGTTAAAAAAAAAAAAACAATGAGAAAATAAAGAGGCAAACCTGAAGTTGTTGGAGGTGCCGGCACCCGAGGGTATTTGATAAGAAGACACGGTCGTGAGGCGGCCGCCGCTTCTCTTACGACGTGCCCTTCATTTCCTTCTCACCTTTCAAATGAAGTGCTTATGCGAGAAGATTACTCCTGCTGTGTTTGAGAATGATTGAATGATGTCCACTACACAAAAACAACCCAGACCCATCGGTGCCTTGCGAACATGTGAAGTTACAGCCAGACGTGGAAAATTTGTTGAGAATGTTATAAAATTCAGAGGCTTCAGTAAGACTGTCGCGTCCCCATAGGGCATAAGACACAACAGCCTTTCGCTAAATTCTCCTGTCCGTCCTTAACCCCTTCCTCCTTTCCCCTTTCCTCCTATTCTCCCTTTCTTCCTATTAACCGCATTTTCCTGACTGGACTAACGTTGAGAACCTATGCGTTCGTATACATAAAAAAAAAATAGAATTAATACATTTTGGGAGTAAAAATTATATATGAACTTGATATGTCTCTCACTTCATTCAGGCTTTAATAGTGGCGAAGGCATGCCACTTCTCACACTCGACGAATGCATTCATATAGACATGTCGCTCGCGGGAAAGAGTGGTGATCGGGTTCTATCCATCAAAATGAACGATTGAACGAGTGCAATCGATTCCACGTGCTGCTCTAGGGTTCATCCGCATTAAACGACCTGACAGGACCTGTAAGGTTCTGTCAGGACATTACGTTATGCGAAGCAACCGCATGGATCCGTGTAGAACTTGATCTTAATTAATTTCTTTTTTGCGTGACCATTCTGGGGATATAGAGGGAGGACCCAAAGAAATCATGAAAGTTAAATGCCTTCGCCGGTTTCTGATTACCAGGAGGCATAGAGGAAAGACCGTGAACAAACTAACGTCCTCATTCGTGGCACATTCCTACGTGACACGCCATACCATGGAAGATCAGCGATTACCAAGACTCGATTGGGAAAAAGCGGAAAATTATTTTTAAAAGAGCCCCTCCAGCATAACATGCCTATTCCAGGCTCTCGACGCCCTTGCTCAGAGAATGAACTGTTGTGCTCCCCTCTTATGTACACTCCACGAAACGAGACACAAGGTCTCTCTTCGTTGGATGCTCCTGCCTACCTTATCTCGAGTGACTCCGTCAATGAGCCTCCGAACCCAGCAGTTCCTCGAGTGTAATTCCTCTTCTGTGTGGAGGCGAGGAGCCCGTTACGAAAGCCCATTGTGACGGAATTCTTCCAAGCTTTCGCCATGGTTTCCGCGCGTTTCCATTAGCTTCGAGCCAAGCGGCGTACAGGACGGTGCCTGGAGCGTATCTATCTCGTGCAGACATGGCGATTAAATGCGGCCGACTTTCAGATGGTCGCAGAGACATCGAATTATTCTGGGAAAAATCAAACATTCGCTGACGTTATTTTGCTTTCTTTTTGAACCACCCTTCGTCCTTGACCTCTTAGTACTCTCAGAATGTTGCCTTCCACAGATCCCTAAATTCAGGTAAACCATGTTTGGGATCAGTGCCTGCATCGCAATTGCTCTGCTCTGTTTCTCGGGGTGCGTCCTGTCCGACGACATCGTCGTGAGGCTGCCCCAAGGAGATCTTCGGGGGAAAGAAGCCAGATCCAGTGGGGAACACCGTTATTATTCCTTCCAGGGCATTCCGTATGCAGAGCCGCCTGTCGGGGAACTTCGCTTCAAGGTATGCCAGTCCCCGAAATTCACAACTAGAACGCCGCCCGGCTCGCTTGCACATAGGCGACGAAAGATCGTTGAAAATCTTTCAGCCCCCAGAAAGACACAGAGGATGGTCTGGGACGAGGGACGCGACGCTGGAAGGCTCCGTGTGTACCCAATTGGATGATTTTTTCTTTAATAAGGGAATCGAAGGTGGAGAAGATTGCCTTTTCCTCAATGTCTTCACTCGCAAGGTAAAGGCTTGGACAATGGTGAAGCTGGAATGGTGAATCGGTCGGAAAATGTGGGGGCATTCAGCAACTTGGTCGTTATCTATCTGTCGCAGGTGCCGAAAGAGGGCGAGGAAAACCCCAGAATGGCGGTGATGGTATGGATTCACGGAGGAGGATTCATCATTGGCAGCTCTCATTCCTTAATATATAACCCTGGGTATCTCATGGATTACGATATTGTCCTGGTCACCATAAATTACCGGCTTAACATCTTTGGTAAGGGACTGTCTAATTAATCCATGTATCTACCAGCATGATTTTTCTTCCAACCTTCAGATTCTGTTCCTTTTTTTCCAGTGAAAATCTTGTTGCTTTTCAGGTTTTCTTTCGACGGAGGACGAACATGCCCATGGGAACTACGGAATGCTAGATCAAATTCAAGCCTTGAAATGGGTGCAAGAAAATGTGGAGCATTTCGGTGGCGACCCTTCAAGGGTGACGATTTTCGGCGAAAGCGCAGGAGGGGCCAGTGTGCATTTGCTGGTCCTATCCCCATTGGCTCGAGGTCCGTGTTTCAAATGATATGGTCCTGTTGAGTATATCTTGAGTAAGTGGACACGGATGAGTCGAAAGGGAAAGCTTTGATTTCCGGAGAATCCAGGGCTTTTCGCGAACGCAATCGCAATGAGTGGAGTCGCGACGGATGCCTGGGCGGTGCAATGGGAAGCCAGAGAAGCAGCGGAACGGCTCGGAGAGATGGTGGGATGTCCGAAAGACTCCAGCCGTGCCCTGGTGGAATGTCTCCGAACGAAAGACGCCCGGGAGTTGGTGGCCAAAGCTCCCATGTTCCACGTGAGTTCTGATTCGCTTCTGCATTGTGCCAGGACCGACTGGATAAGTGCAGTTGCTCTCCTCCTGGAGTCTGACTAACGTGGAAGGATTTTATAAATGTTCAGGTAAATCGAATGTCTTGGAAAATTGCTAAAGATAAGGCTGCAACTTTCAGTACGAAAATTTGATTGCGAGAAAATTGCACAGAGATGAAAGTTGAAAGAAACGGAACTGGAACAAGATCTTAAATGATGTTGACTTTCGGTTTGACTGTTTTACACCTTGTAGCTCTCAAAATATCATGATGCCATCAGTACAATTTTGTCCAATCTCCAGACAACATGGGAAAAGGAGTTTTTTTAATATGACGAATGACAGGGGAACCCATCTGAACAAAATGTTTGTGAGAATGTAGGCTCAATTGTGGAGGGTAGATTGGTAGATACATTGCATGAAGAACGAAATAGTAAATTTTCGATTGAGATTATGAGAGGAAAATTGTGATGGTGTTTCAAACCTTGAAAGATGATGTTCCTTTGTTTGATATTTGACATAGTTGGCTGAAAGAATCAGTTAACTTTTTTCTCCAAGGCACATTTTGGTAACGCAGAGTTCAATTTTTTGATTTGTTGTGTGATGATCAGAAATCAAGGGAACCGTTTATTTTAATTTTTTTTTCTTTCATCAAACTCAGCTGGTTTTTTCAAGAGTTATGGGGGCAAGCATTTTGCACCACCACTTACATAGCCAGTTGAAAAGAATAGAAAAAAGCATACAGAATTTACTCTCTTCAGTTGTGGACGATTATGCCTTTAACATTCACTCCTCGAGTGGATTCCGAGGCGGAAAGTCCTTTCCTGCCTGACGACCCGAAGATCCTCCTGCGAGAAGGTCGTTTCGCAAAAGTCCCCTTCATGACTGGCGTCACTCGAGAGGAAGGGCTCTTTCTGACTCAACGTAATTAGAATTTCCTTCATCATTCTTCCTTCCTTGGACTTTACTCCCACTTCTAGCAACAAGAATATTCCTTAAATTCCTGAACTCTTATCACGATCCAGCCGCCTTGTTGAACGAGACGCTGCTGACTGCGATGGACGAGAACTGGGACTATTACTGTTCTCGAATGTTTCTTGAGAAGACCGAGGACAATGGGGACTACTGCAGTCGTCTCAGGAAACAATACTTTGGGGATCAGCCCATCAATCGTCACAATCGATACGAACTCGTCAGGGTAAACAGCGTTTCATCTGGGCCTTCTCATCTTCTTGAGAGAGGAAGGAGGAGGATTTCAGAAATACAACTTTTTGATCAGATGGCCGGAGACCAGATGATGAATGTGGGGGCCTTCGAAACCGTGAAGGTTCAAAGCCGCTTCGTCCCAACGTACCTCTATTCCTTCGAGTACGAGGGGAGCTTCGGGTTAATAGACTTCATCAGGGCCATGTTCGTCATGTCGCTCCCGGAGAAAGCCAGAAGCTCTGTTCAAAAGCTCACAGGTGAGATTTCGAAAACATATGTAGGAAACGTCTCAACGTTAATTTTTTTTATTGCGATGCGTTGGCCATGGTAAAAGTAACCATCGTGGGGTCCAATGAATACTTTTGAATTGTAGATTCTTTCACTTTTTTAGAGTAACCGTTTCAACTTGGATTCATAGAATCTCACGATTGGCTGTGGAAAGAAAGTTTCTTTTTTTAAGGAAACGGATTTGCCCGAGAACAATAATTCTCGGGCAAATGGCCTATTCAAAGGGTGGAGCCTGAGAAGAGAAGAGCTATTTCAATGAGGAACGTTTGAGTGGAACAAGAAGTAGACTATCGCCAATCGCAATGGTGGAGTATTCCGTGCGTGGTTTATGATTGATGTGATTTAGAGCGTTAAGCAGTGGCCTTCCAACTGTAAACCTTCGATAAATAGAAGGATTTCAGAGTGGTTCATTTTTCAGCCGGTCTAATACCTAATTAGTATTCAAACGGGGAACCCATCGAGAAAAAAAAGCCGGCATCACCATGCATTACGAAGCATTACTTCCCATCCGGAGCAGGCGTGGCCCACGGCGACGACATCGCCTACCTCTTCCCACTGGCCTTCCTCCCTCGCGGCGACGAGAGGGACGCGGCAATGAAAGACATCCTCACTGATATCTTCGTTCAGTTTGCCAAGTCAGGGTGAGTCCCCTCTCGCTTTCTATTTGCGAATTGCCCGGCGTCTTTCATTGTTCGACTTTGTCTCTGTCTCTGTGCCAGGAAGTAACTTTCCTTGTGGAAGTTTTTTTTTTTTGTTTTTGTTTCCGTGGGAAATATATGAACTGCTGTTATAATTTATGTTCATTTTTGTTTCTCTTTTATATCCCTATTCATTTTCGTTTTTATTCAGTTTCTTTATTAAAACTAAATTTATATTATTTCATTTGATTTTTTCTTTATTTTTTTTTTATTCCCTGTTTTGTTGACCATAGAGACCCGACGCCTGATCCCCGGTCGGACGTGAAATGGCCCCAATGGACACAAGACGATCCCCGTCATTTCGTGTTCGATGCCCACCCCCGATTGTCGCGAAACCTGGTCGACTCCAAATTCCTGGATTTCTGGGAACAACTTCTCGCCTCCCAGCCGAAGAGACACAGGGAAGAACTTTGAAATGCCTGGGTTTTTTTCCGTTCCTCTGGTTACAGCTAATAAAAAAAACCACCTGATGTGACTGAAAAGAATGTAATTGTCCTGGAATTCTTACGAACTTCGATATCGGGCCGAGACCCAGTGGTTTTTTATTTCTCAGTCTCTCTGTTTACTAGCGTCCCATGATCCCTGAGAGTCACCGTTACTCTCTGACCACTATTACCATTTCATCACCATTCAGAGCGCTGAAACACTTTCAAGTTGGAGTCTCTGTAATCATCTGTTTCTCTGGAAAAATCCCTCTGTTATTTACAGCCGAAGGCAAGGGTGAAATCGTCTATGTGCGGTCATTACAATGTAGATTTTTTTCAAAATCGCGAAGTCTCTCTCACAGAAACAGTTTCTCGCTGTTAGAAGAAGCAACTACTAAGGGCGGCATCGCGAAAATTATTTATTTTATTTAATGGTGCTCGAACTTATGTTCCTTGCTGCAGGTCCTGATCGCTTTTGGAACGGAACGGAAGGGCCGTTGGCTGACAGAATCAGATTAAAGGACACAAAAGGAAACTTTTAACCTTCAATTAGCCTAGGGCTTCCCAACCCAGGGGTCGCAAAGATAATATTTGGGGTCGCGAACCGGCAAGCCAGGTTAGAAGAGTAGATAAGGTTGGGTCGAAAGCGAAGACCCGAATAATGGCGGTTCTAGCCCTAGGGCAAATGATGTCATTGGTATACATATGCCCGACTGCTCCATTCTCGCCATTGGTTTTCCTCCGATGTAATGATATCATTTGAAGCATAATATCCAAATTTCGTAACCAATCGCTCTTTAAAAAAAAAAATCCCTTAAATTGAGGAAGGGAATGCATCGAATGGGAAAGAGGCGGGGAGGATTCCGTACCGAAAAGTTTGAGGGGAATGCGACTGTAGTGAGAATATATCGGTAGGTCACACCTCATACGATTACCCTATTATTTACGGGAATTGTTAACATGTGTCATTTGCCCTTTTGAAACGGCAATGAAAATATGCGTTCATCCTCACACTTCTTCGTTCTGTGTTGCTCTATCCCAAAATCTGAGGAAAGGAGCTCGTTTGTCATGGTCGGGGCGAATCGCGTGATTTTCACGAACACCATGAAGATATTCCTTCTCACAAACTTCAACGAGAGACTCCCGTTTCTTCCTCACCTTTTTGTACTCGCTGAGCAACTCAGAATTTATTAAGAGAATCCAGGTTCTCACAAATATTCGGGATACTCGATGGTCAACTTGGAATTTCTATCGGATCATCTCGGCGAAAGATGACAGTCGACTCCAAAGGGTTTTTTCGGGGTCCCTCCCTCGGTCTACTTCAGGGATTTCATTTTTCGCGCGTTTGCACCGCATCACTCGGGTCTTTAACTATCCAGGTTCCTTTGAAACGATGAAAGGAACATTTCTCTCCGTCGGCTCCGAAATCATCAGATGTTTTTGCAGGCGGCGACTGCACGTAGTACCGGCATCTGCGAATGCCATGATCCTGGCAGCACCACAATCTAGAGATGCAATCGTTTAAGCGCAATAGAATGGAGGTGCAAAGAGCAAGGTAATATGGCAAGAAAAAACTAGCCGATATGACATTTTTAACAGAGGAGAAATAGTATAGAATGGAGGTGCAAAGAGCAAGGTAATATGGCAAGAAAAAACTAGCCGATATGACATTTTTAAGAGGAGAAATAGACTAGAAAAAGGAGATTTTATCAGTCAGCCGAGGAGAGTGTATACCAATGACGTCATTGGCTCTCGAGCCCCCCTGTTGGGATGTAGCCCAACCTTTTCTACTCTTCTAACCTGGAAAGCAGGTGCTCAAGTCGAGAGCGATCAGGGAATCTGCTATAAAAACCAATGTTGCGTGACTTTTTTGAGGCAAGGCAGCCTAGATGCCATTGCGGTTCATTGACGATCGGTATCGTCTGCTTTTTGTCACGAGTGCAGCTATCACTGACTTTCACTCTAGTTTCATTTCATCAATAATAATTCATATCCGTTCTTTATTGGAGAAAGACTGCTTTGTGCATTTTTATGCGGCAAACAATGATGAGTAAGATAAGCAATCGACATTGGAAGACTAGGAGAGTCTAGAACAAGGAGTACATTTTCGTCAGATTCCTTTCCTCAGCCAAACAAATGTCAAGCTCACAATCTAACAGGTGGATAAATCCTCTTCAATATCATCTATTGTCTGCGCTTGACCATCTCAGAATTCAATGGAGTTCATCAGTCAATCGGAACATCCTGGGAATAGCGTACAACTAAATTCGTCGGCTTCCACCGCAAACGAGAGCCGAGATATCGTGGTTTAAATTTGGCAAAAAAAGGCACCAAAATGTCAGCATTTCAACTTTGTAGTTACTTTCCAATTTTTTTTTTATTGGAAAGTAATTACAAAGTCCTTAAATTATGTAAGAGATATAATACGTCAATATCACTTGGGATATTGGTTCATAGATGCATGAACTCAATTTACCTCAGCTTTACCAATTTTCACGATTCCACACAGCGAATCGTGGGATCGACATGTTTGAATTTTCTTGTTTTCTAATAGAAATATTCCCTACAAAACAGGGCATCTGTTTGCATGGTCTTTTATTTCCCCTTTTCTCTAGCTTTAATTCGAAGTAGCCAACTCTTACGGACAAAGATCAAGGAATTTAGCGCATGGGAACTTTGAGACTTTTCCTCAGAGGAAAATTTTAATCCCCTCATCTCTGCCTTCGTTTGTCGCCGGTCTCTACGACTTTGTATGGCTCAGGAACGTGCATTGACAAAGACTTATTCCTGATTCCAGCACCTTGTAGTCTTCGGTTGTCGATCATTTACCTTGGTTATAATTGTTGGTCGCATTTACGAAGCTATCTTACCTCCTCCCATGGCAAATGACTGGGAAATAAATAAATAAATCACTTTAGATACAATTTTTCACTTCCATGAATGTGGCGAAGGACGCGACTTTAGCTTATCAGGATGGGGTCACCCGGAAAAGACCCGTTTTCGACCATTTCTTTCCCAGACCCAAGTCCAAAAATGAATGTTTCTTAATTGTCGGACCAAACCGCATTCCACCGCCATACTAAGCCTCATATTGGTTCCCACTGCAACGGCACTATCCGAAAAAGAAGAATAGGGGATATACATAAATGTCTCCGTCTCGAATACATTATGATGTCGATGGCACTGACGTTCGTAATCAGAGGTGGAAAAGAGTTCTGTAACCTGGTAACCAGGTTACCAGGAAATGTAAAGACCTATCGGTAAGACAAGCCAGGGAGAATTACAAAATTATTTTTGAGAGAAGAAAAGCGAGGGGGAAATAAGGAAATATTGCGGAAAGAAATAGTGGGAAATGAAGAGATGTTTAGGATGAAGAATGGTAATGGATTGAAAGAAGGTAAATGACGAATGGCTGGTTAAAGATGAAACTCCCAAGAGGTACCCGGAAGATGATATCTGCCAGAAGGGGAAGATATCCCCATGTGACTGATGTTGACAAATTCAGGGACGAGGATATAGATTTCTTCCTCCCATGCCGAACGCGTAGGCGGAAAGATATCGATATTGCGTATTTCCTCAATCCTGGGGCTGTAGGATCTCGCCCTAATGAGGAGGATAGAAACTGAGAAGTGGGGACTGATTAAAATTCGCTTGACTGTAAAATAGAGGACTGTAAATCTTGCTACCGGCATAAATATGTATTATAATTATTTCAATGCGTATAGCACGAGTTGAGAGATACTGATCACCGAATTGGACGGCGTTTTTTCGCCTTGGAAACACCTTCCTTTGCTCTTCAATCAGTCGGCAGTCAGCTTCGTGTTACCTAGCTTTCTGCTGTTTCCCTTGCGCCTTTTTTCGAGTGACCCTATTTGGCCCCACACTTAGGAAAAATGGTTCAGGTCATATCTTTTTTAAGGTTAAATAGAAAAAATGGTTAGATGTCGGTACAACACTATCTGAAAGGGTTATGTTTATTTAACTTCCTCTGAATTTTTTAAGTTATCCCTTTCGATCTAGAGGATTTGATATTCAGTCCTTTGAGTAGGGTATAACCACGAGTGGGTTATATACAAGAAAGGAATAAATATATATCCTTCTGGGACTACATATTTATCCCCAATGAAAGTTCTTAATAGGAATCGGATGTTACCAAAAAGTGTTCAAGTTTTGAACTCTTCAGAGTTAGAGAAAAGGTATAGATGACAGTGAAACACCATTTGCAAGGGTTATTTGTGTAATGTAAAGTTCCCTTTTAGACCACGAAATGGAGTTATGGAGCGACCGCTTCCCA